TATATATATATATATATATATATATATATATATATATATATATATATATATATATATATATATATATATATATTAGTCACTTTGGTGTATAAGTTGCAGGTCTCGCAAATTTATGCAAAAATATGCAATTTATACAGTGAAAAATACGGTACATAAACTTTCTCTTTTCCTTCTTGTTATTTCTGATCCACTCAAAGTAATTTAACAAAACTTCATACACATATGTATCATCACTAGTGTCTCATACATTTTGCATCACCCTAGCTTTAAGGTCAAGGTCACAAATAATAAAACATATACAAGGTACTTCTCAGGGCCATAACTTCTGCTCAAGATCATTTAACAAAACTTGCTACACATTTGTACCACTACTATACAGAATGCCACATAGTTTTTTCATCACATCAGCTCTAAGGTCAAGGTCACATGTCAAGGTCAAAGGTTAGACAAGGTTGTTGCTTGTCTGTGCCATTGCTATAGATTGCTGTATTGTTGTGTAATAGTTGACGGGCACATAACGCACCGTATGCAGTACCCTGGTTTTGTTTATTAGGGAGTTGGAAGGAACTGACTGAAAGGAATGTTTGCTCAATGAGTTCCTTTTAAATGATGCTTTAAACAGCTACGGCCAGATAAGATTGCTATTTGCTCTGTTGAACATGCAGGGTGAACGTTTGCAGCTACGATAGTCAACGGACTCGTTTTCTTAGCATTTTTTTATTTTCGTTTCCAGTTAAATGCATTTTATTTGATTATTTTTTTTTTTAGTTTGATGCTCTGCTCACAAAAAATATGATTTAAAAGCTTTTTCCCCATGTTCTATTTTCTGTCAAAACTTGAAATGCACATTATAGATTTTTGCATTTTTTGCTTAAATTTAAAGAGTAAGCTACTTAAAGTCAGCTGCTCTGAAGCTGAAGCTCTTTCGTCTAAAATTAGACTAGATTGAGAAAATTGCACTTGCCCTTTACCATGCTTCAAGTTTCAATCAGTATTCATAATAAAGGTTCACTTTTGGAAGACTTAAAAGCCTGCAGTTGTGGATTAAAGGAGAGTGCTAAGTGTCTGCAAAGTGTAGCATAATCTTCAAAACGAAGCTTAACACCTGATGGCCCACGCTGATGGTAACTCATTTAGAAGGGCCAAGGTGACGGGAGAAAAAAGGCTGGAATGCTTTGAAAGCAGAAAGTAAAGATGGCTGAAGTCAGCCAAGGCGAGAGTTGAAATGAAGACGAGAGAAGAATATTATGAAGACTTTATTAAAGATTTAAAAATGGTGTGCGTTGATGGTGTTCGCT